TTTTTTTTTTTCGGTACTGAATTCCAGTGGTTACGTGATAACGGCTGGGATCAGGTCGCCATTCAATTTTTTACTTGTTTTTATGTGTTTTTGCAGCTGAAAATGAGCTGGTAACAGCTCGAAACGTCTTGCCTTTTAGTGTTTCAATAATTTTTTAGCCTTGTTTACCCATATTTTAATTAAATCTCCTCTTTAAATGGCCAACTCTACCAGGAAACGTTTACTGGAGTAAAGGTGCGATTCCGATCCAAGCATTTGGGCAACTATTTTGAGTTGATATGACATACCTTGAGTTTGTTTTCTTTGCGATTGACGATGACAGCTGTAATTTGTTGATCCATGAAAATGAGGATCGTGCCGAGGACGGCCGGTAAAAAGGCGAGGAAACACGTCCAGATTGGGTTGATACCAAACGGCATGATAATCCATCCCCGGTCTGGCAGTGTCGGCTTGAATTCGCTCGGCACTTCCAGCTTGGGGGTTTTTATCCCCGAGAAATAGTCCAGAGCGGACATGGAGAGGATAGCCAGAATTACTGCGAAGTCGCTGATAAGTTGCCTAACCTGGGGGGAAAAATTCTCAGGTTAGTAAATTAATGTTGAAAATCTCCAAGGGTGAAATCAAAAGTGTATTTCATTCATATCCTTCAATATTTCTAGGGGCAAAACAGGCTCCAAATGGAAATGCACTTCAGATTTCACCCCTATAGATTTCTTACGACGTAGTCAAATTTGGAGGGTGCAAGTGCTCTCCGAGCAGATATAAAGTCCAAAAAAATAAAATTTAAATACAATTTTATAAAATTTAATGCAGCTTTTGGCGATGTTTTTTTGGACTAGCAATAGTGATTCAGGTGAAGAATTGCTGTAATGAGCGCCGTGCAGGCAATGTTAAAACTAACGGGAACAATTTGCATGAGAGAAATTAATGATATGTTACTGTTTAGTTAAACGCCAAGTTATTTCCACAAGGTTTTATTCCATAAAATTCCAAAAACATTTTGACAATGCAAACACCCAGAATAATATTTCAACATTTTGGTCAAATAAAACATTCTGTGTAAATACCATGTCGTTTACTTGGGGTGATATATTTTTTTATGCGATTTGTCTCTTATATTTTGAACTTGGTGGTACATTTATACATTTTACAATTTTACTTTTTATCTATTACTCTGAAAACGAATTAACATCGAATTCATAAATTGGCGATTTTTCTTTTAATAATTGCTCTGTCCAATGATGTTAGTACTGATTTAGCTGAGGATGGACAGGACTTACCTTAGATGGGAAAAATAGGGCATTTTTGAAATCCTTGAGCTCGATAGAAATAATAAACGTTCCGAGAAATAGAATGATTGACATAAGAAAGACATCTGGCACATATGGAGGAGGAGAGCAGCCTGGACCGCCCATTGTCCCGTTCAGGGCCTAAAAAAAAATTAGTTAAAAAATTATCTCACCGATGGACGTCTTCATCATAAAAATGTCATGTTTTTCTGAAATATGCGCCTTTGGACGCGCGTTGACCATACACAGATTTTCATGGAATTTTAATTTTTTCTCATCGACATTAAAAGGCATGCCATGAATGAACCACCGATCGATGGTCATATCTAAACAAGTGATCAAGAGACTATTTTAATCGTAAGAACATTCTCTCACGATCATAGGCGGTTCTAGACCTTCATTCTTGGGGGTGCTCAGAGGTGGAAAACGTCGGAGACCGGCTCCAAAGGGGACGGTCGCTCAGGGGAGGCCTATGTTTCGGCCCTCAAGTTTTATCCCTTCCCTACCTTCCTTCCTCTTTTTCTCTCCTTCCTCTCCACCTAAATACCTGTAATTTCAATTTAGAAAATTTTTAGCAAAACTTTCCATCAAAACTACAATCTTACCATAAAAAACAGTGGAATCTTTATAAAACACGCCAATAAATTTTAATTCTGTTTAAAATATTTTCAATTAATTGCTGGGATTTTTTCTCAGTGTGAGCAAATACAGAATCTTTAAAAGCAGTAATTTCACGGTTCCGGGTAACCGTACATAATTTTTGCTTGGGGGTGCCTGGCACCCACTGGCACCCCCGTAGAACCGCCTATGCTCACGATACAAAAATGAAACATACAATGAAAAATATCAGCGTTAGCGTGATTCAATGATGTTCCAAAACTTAGAAGGTTCGCCATAAGAGACGAAATGTTGAAGGCCACTTACGAGACATGACGTGTTGTCGAAAGAGGTCCAATCTGTTGAATCAGGTACTTGATAATCGCTAATATATGACGGTGGAAGACAGACACAATCTAAAGGTTTATTCCTATTTAATGGAAATTTTTTTCCGATTGATATCACATTCTCTATTGCCTGAAAAAAAGCACACGAATTATTAACCATAAGAGTCTTCAAAAAGATCGGCGGGTCTCTTGGAGCTTACACAGAGAAAAAAACTTCAGTATTTATGGAACGCAAAAGTTTTCGGTCAAGGTAACTGAGATTTTCAGTCGTAAAAATCGAATGTTAGTTTAGATCAGTGGCATTTTCGCAAGTTGGCAACACTGTATTTTCTCCATTTAAATTCTTTGAAAATATCGATTTTAGGTGAGGCAAGCTGCCTCACAAAGAATCGATTGTTTTACATACATTTAGATGGGAGAAAAACAGTGTTGTCAACTTTTAAGAATCGCGGCTGGTTCAGAGACCGGAGGTCTTTGGTGCGAAACTTCGTGTGCATATTAAAAACTCTAGTCACCCGGTACATACGGTCCTTGTGCCGGAAAATTTCAGTTACCTGAACTGTAAACTTATAATTCTGTATGAACTTAAGTTTTATCCTCTTGTAAGCTCCGTGCCATTGTAAACAATGTTTCTTATAACTTGTGACCTTAACGATAATTTAACGAGCAAAAGTTCCACTAGACGCTGAGAGAGTGTAATTTGCAATAAAAGTTAATGCATTCCCCGGCCTTTCTTTGCATGCGATTGTGCAAGGAAAAATATGAGTTGTGGGCGAGAAATGTCGGATATTATCAGGGTGACAAGTTAGTAAATAAGGCGAGGGAGTAATAAAGAGGGGAGTGAAGAAGGAACGAAAAAGTGTAAACATTGTAGGGAAATGTAGGGGAGGAAAGGTGGTAAAATAACCATTGACCCAAATTACCGTTCACTCTGAGTAAATAATGCCCCATCTTACGAAGATTTGATGTTATTTCAGAGCACCTCTATATGCATGAATTTTGATCAAGGGCATTCGGAAATAAATTCTCAGCGATTCCATGTTTTCTGAATTCGTTCATTGCTTGGTTTTCCTCTCTTACAAAGCTAGCAAAGATATAACCCCTAACGGTCAACATTTACGATTGAACGTAGCTTTTAGCTGCCGTAAGTGTCATAACATAAAAATAGCGATTGCCTACTCTTTTCCGAATCATATCTTTTTATAGATCTCTCAAATTCAACTTTTTTTCTATATGCTCGACATAAAATTTGAAATCCGGCTAATTCAAAGATCCTCAGATTCGGGAAAATTCTCGGTTCCGCCCAGCGTGCATTATAATTTTTGCGATATAAATTGGAAATGCCATCATCATTCGTCTAATTGCATAGAAAAACGCTCTCAAATAACACAACTGATCGGATGTATTTTTGCTAAACGGAACTAGAGACGTGTAGGAAAGATGGGGGTGTGCTCTAGAAAGCTGGATAAGACACGTTTTAAAAGTAGGCTTGATGTTTGATTCCTTTTAAGAAAATGGAAAAGTGACATTTAACATTAAATCAAAAGGAACCAAGCTATGGTTAAAATATGCTATCTCATGAGCAGTGGGCATGTGACAGTAGCGTCGTGGATAGGGCTCATGAGTTAAAGTGCCCCAACACAGAACTCCTCGTTGTCGCACGTCTGACAATGAGTCGTCGCCGCTGACGTCACTGGCACTTTATAATTCCCATTCATTCTTACGACCCTCCACTAAAGAGCACATTTCTTTCTTTTCCACCGGTCTCTCCTTCCTTTTAGCATAAATACGTTCAAATAACCTCCAACAAAGCGCTTCAACTATATAGTTAATGTCAAAAATATAAATTCTCAAATTCCAATTTTAGTTTTAACGATAGTATTTTTGGAAGTCTTTTTTACAATTTAACCGGATTTCATGGTTTACACGATATAATCGGATTATGATTCATTATTACAAGCTTAACTTTCCAATAACTTCAAATATATGTTGGAGCTTACTCACTTTATAAATGAAAATAAAAGCTATGAGTGTGGCAAAGTTCTCCTCGGTGAATCTGGTGATGTAGCAGACGAGTGCACTGGCATCGATTGCAACGAGAACGATCAATATAAAGGCTATCCACAGGCCGATCCATAAGCGGAAACTCATGTAATCCCAAGATCGTTCCCTGTAATAACAATAAAACGAATGTACAGTTTCACCCCGTATTCGTCGGGGAAACAAAGCAATGGAGCGATATCCTAAGAGCAAAGTACGCAATATCGCTATTTTCACCCTCCACTCAGCTACATACACAACACATGATGCACTCAATGCAGTTCTGTCGTGCTGGGAAGAACGCCGTATGAACATTCGAGAGTTGTCAAATTTCCCCGAATAAAACATGTGTTTATGCATGTTATGGGTATTTTTCCTTAACATTTTCCGATATTTTAGATTTTATGAATAAAATTGTCTGAAAAATTGCGAGAAAAAGATTCGGAATTTCCCAGTAAATTCGTTGGTTATGAAAGGAAATTCGGCAACGCCTGAAGGCTCATACGACGTTTTTCCTTAGCACGGTAGAACTCTGCCTTGCTAAGGAAACGCCGTATGAGCCTTCAGACGTTGCCAAACTACCTTTGGCTAATCAACAATTTTCGGGGAAAATTGTAAGTACTTATCATCAAAATTGTTAGCGAATTTAGTCCGTAATTTGATTTAAAGTGTCTGAAAATTCCATTGAAAAAAATTCATAATTTTCCTCAAAAATAGGCGTCTTCTGAGAATAAATTTGGCAAAATTCGAATGTCTATACGTCGCTTTTCCTTACCATGGCAGAGTTGACAAGAGAATTTGCAATACGGCTAGTATGCACTCAGTGCAGTTTGAGAGAGCATTTGCAATGAGAGTATGAAATGGAATGGAACGGAGAGATTACTGGGGATTATATAAAAGCAAGAATCTAATAACCACTACTGACATTCTTTTTCTCCGACCACAAGAGAGGTAAAAAATGAGAATCACTTTCCTCGCGAGAAATTATTCGGTGGTAAGTTAAGCTACCAAGTTAATTTCAGTTCCGAGAGGCTCAAAGTTTTCCAAAATTTATCTTTCTCCCTCGTTTATTTCCTTAATTCATACTTCCTGTTCTTCCAATAACTTAGAGGGCGTATCAGCTTGCATTTTCCTCTAAAAGTTTCACCCGGATAAACTTTTACCGGACTTTCCCGCATCCCATTATCATAAAATTATCCAATTTCTTAGCTACTCAATTTCGTCGAAGATTTTTCTTCTTATGAATCTTTTAGCTGGGGCTCATTACTGAAGTGGGCTGAGCAGATACCTACCGCTGCAGCACAGAACCCAAGGATAAAATGCAACAGAACTCATGCACAAACGACAAATATCCTGCCATTTTCGCTCTCACTTAATCCCTATGTATTTTTACCTAACTGTAAGTATGTAATTAAAAAACTCGTGAAAAAAAACATTTTTTATTAATTGTTTTACTATAATGATAATTTTTATTTTGTAATAAATTCAAAACCAAGTCTCGGGTGAATATTTCAAAGCAGCGGACAAAAATATTCACGATGTATACTGGAGACGTGTTTTTTGAGTTATGTCAGAGTATGTCTCGATCAAAACTTGTAAACGAATATTTTGACGCAATCCAGTGTTGTTCTTAGTTTTTTTTCGATTACAACATTTAAGTATCATTGAATTAAGATATCATCGATTGATCGATTAACTACCGCATTATCAAACACAGTGCTGTATATATTTACCTCAAACTCGCATAAGAACAGGATTAATTCCAAATAAAATTCCCCGAACAATGATTCTATTTCGCAGAAGATATCTGAGTCAGCTCTGGGTAAATTTTGTAAGTACTGAGTAGATTTTAAAATGCAAGTAATTTTCTCGGGAAAATTCAATGATAATTACAAGTTTTCTAAAAAAAAAATTCATGTTACATTAGAGGAAAAATTTGGACTGTGTCTAAAAGTTTATTTGGCGTTTTTCTAAAGCACAATTGTGCTGACATACTGACTTGCAAAATTCGAAGACTATGGTTTCGAAGACGAGGACAGGTCCGGTGGATCCCAAAATAGTGAGAGGTTGACCGGAGAAAAGGCCGTAGCCCATCCCGCAGACGAATCCTGAGATGAGGGACTCCATGGCGGCCATGTTCTTCCCGGTCGCCTCGCTGAGGAGACCCCCAAAAGTAATGATGGGTGACAGACAGGCGAAATACAGGAAAATCCACGATGCAACGCACTGCAACGCCAGCGCATCTTTGAAATCCGAGAGGTACCTGCAACCCATGAATACAGATGTTGGTTCGGAGCTGGTGGTCCTTTTGTTGCTTTTCTATATTTTGCGTCTGCTCAGGGTGGGCATTTGAAGTTTCGCATGGAATAATGAAACCAAAAAGGCTTATCTGTATCAAATTATGTCTTTGCCACGCTGTGTATTTTAGAAGCAAGAAACTTAAAAATACCTATTTCTGGCGCAAATCACTAAATAAAAAGTTCTATTCATAAGGCTCCTGCATTTTCTTTGTTACAGCTTCAGAAATTTCCGTTGCGAGAACAGAGTACTTTGTGCTCACGACCGAAGTTCTATTCTCTCAACAGGAAAGTTCTGAAAGCATAAAAAAGCGCAGGGGCCCTGTATGCAAAAAGTGCTGTCATCAGCACCTACCCGTTTAGCGTGATTGTGACAAGAGAAACCAATTTTAGACTTTGTCAATGCCTGTATTATGATTTTTAAACCTTTTATGATGCAAATCTAAGTTTTGGTCAAGCTTAAGTTTTCAAAAGACTCACTGGTATGTGAAAGACAGATTTTGCCAGAGAAAGCCCACATTTTTTATCTTTCTAAACGAGTAAAGCGTGGCCCGGCGCATCATTTACGGTAACGCCTGCATTCAAATAGGCCTGCTATGTGTGTTGCATTCAAATGAAATGAGGGCGCGCTGGATTTCTTACATTATCTGCGCCGCCTCGCCGTCTTTGGCAGTTGTTGTTGCTCCATAATAAGGTGCCGCAACTGCCGCAAGGCTTCATCACTTCGCTGCTCGCTGAATCTACGAATACCCTATCCGTAGCATGAAATTTTGATGTGAAAAAGATCAAAACGACCTCCCTAATTCGAAAATGTTGACACATTTTTCGAGTAATTCCTACAACGTTATCAAAATATGTTCCCCGGACGATTGCATACATATAATAATAATGCATATATCCACGAGAGAGCAGTCTATTTGAAGGAGGTTTGATAATTTTGGGTAGGCTTTTGCTCTCCTAATACTCAATGCAGAATTCAAGTTATTATTCCTGCTTTTCACTTACCAGGGTGCTTTCCTTTTGATGTCATTGATGAGACCGCCAAAAAGCCGTCCTGTTCGAGACAGTCCAGATTCCTCCCGAAGTTTCTGTTCCTCCAACTCCGGGTCGATAGACTCTCTCGATTTATCCGATGGTCGTTTTCTTGTGTCCTGCGTGGATTGAAAACATAGAATAAAACTTCAATCACTCATGAAATTCCAAACGACAATCAATATCGGGGCCTCAAGCACAGACATGAGTTAATCTTCTAACTTCGAACTATTAGTCGTGTCCCTTTTTCATGCGTTGAACGGATCAGTTACGCGATCTTAGCATCAACTTAACGGTCGTGTAATTGGTTTTATTTCCTTCTCATCATCCTACATTTTATTTAAATAATATAGCTAAGCGAAGAAAGAAATTTCAAGGGTTGAGTGGTGGAGCCTCTATAACGCAAAGAGAAAACTCGACACTACAGTTTGGTTTATATGGGAAATAAGACACAAAATAACCTGCGCCTGCGGTTGACTCTGGGGTTTCCCGGCCCCTCTATTGTTTTCTGCGCTAAAGTCACCTCAGAAACTGCACCAGAATCAACACAAAAAAGGGTTGGTTTGAGTTTCGCTTCCTATGAATTGACTGTCTATAAAGGTACTCAAGTCCGCTTCGGCGCGACGCGACGCGACATGCTGCCAGCTCGAAACGCGCCCTGACGCCTACAAACCTAAGGGGATACTTCACGCATTGCGCAATGCTTGAAGTATCCCCTTAGGTTTGTAGGCGTCAGGGCGCGTTTCGCGATGGCAGCACGTCGCGTCGCGCCGCAGCGGACTTGAGTACCTTTATAGACAAATTATGGTTATTTCTGTGCCGGGTTTTCATCGGTCGCGAGAAAATAGGCTGACACGATGATGTTCCTACGGCCGTAAATGAACAAACAAGATGACTGTTATCAGCTAGCAAGTTTGAGGTTATGCACATCTTACATCCTCCTGTGATAAAGGCGAAAGGCGATTCAATAGTATTATCCATGTGTTTTTCATATGTTTTTCGTAGATATGCTGGTTTGAATTGTTACTGCCTAAAGGCGGAGATTTGCAGACAATGCAAACGAGATTCTCCATCAGCTTGTGTTATAGCTGTTGTGATTAAAATTATAATTGGTGGAATCAATTTTCCTGTGATAGTTAAGTAAATTATGGCTTTATTTAATTCTATAAATCATGATAACTTGTTTCCTAAAATTACAGATGGAACAAGAATAATAATCTCTCTTATCTTTTGACTACTTATCTCCTTTCTTATTTTCATAGCCAAAGATATCTTGTTTAAATTGATGATTATTATTATTTTTAACGAATAGCTTGCGGTTACTATTATTAAGATGATAAAAGTTAAAGTTAGAATTTAGTCAGTTTTAGTTTTCCGGTTGCGGACTTACGCCGCGCCTTCGATATGTCTCTGATAGCTTTTGACATGTATAGTACCTATGAAGGGGGAAGTGGAGGAAATTGCGAGGTACCTGAGAGGGTATGGCAGCGGGTGGCTCTATCCTGATGGTGGGGTCCCACTCCCCGGGTGGAAGAACGGTGACAGCGTCGAGGAACTCGTCGATGGCGGCTAGGAGATGGTTCCGATTCCTGGCCTTGTACGCCACCTCGTGGAAGACCTCGTCTGACATCAGCGTCGCCATTGCGCGCCCGATCTCATGGTAATTTCCGATCCCACCCTGGAAAACAGCAATGGAATATTAGGTTGCAGTCATTGTCGATCTTTAAGGTGAGTGATCTGGCAGCGGGAACTGTCAACATTAGGCCTTGTCCACGAGAGCGCGGTTTGAGGAACTTCAGCGTAGAGTACCTATATAGCGAGAGTATGGACAGATCGCTTCATGGAGGGCTTAGGGCCCAAAAGTGCAGCCACCCTTCTAACCAGCTTCTAACGCACAAAATTTCACTGCCAGTCTGCGGATTCCAATTCTAACCAAGATGGCTAAGAATGTATATAAATGAGCGTTCCTCCGCAAAAATGAGTAAATTTATGCAAAAACTAAGTCAAATACGTGCTTTACAAAAGATGGTTCGTAACAATTGTATTAGTAAATCGCTCTGGATAATTGAAATTCATAGGTTGGCTGCATTCCTGGGCCCTAACTTTATTCGCGGAGGCATCGGTGAAGGCCTGATGGATTTTCGGAGTTTCACATCTGTCTATACTCTCGCTATACAGGTACTCTACTTCAGCGGTCTGGTTCCAGGAACTTGTTATAACTTACGTATAACTTGTTCTTGGAACCCCCAGTTTGCAGAATTAAAGCGTCTAAACTGAGCTCGTATGGACAAGGCCTTAAAGATCTGAGTTTGCTGGAAAAGTCAAGTGCCGGAGACATGATCAAGGGAAAGTTCCTGACAATCATCCGAAAAGTACCCAGGATCATTCAAAGAAAAGTTTCCGGGAACATTAAAAAAAAAGTTTCCGGGAACATTCAACTAAAAGTTCCCAGGAACATTCCAAAAATGTTCCCAGTGGCTCTTCGGAGTCTCATAACAATTACTCATTAAATATGTGGCAGTGTGTGTTTTCCTGCCAAGCATCCTCGGAAAAGTAGATTTCGGGAGTACGCAGAAATCGGGAAATTTCCTTTTAGATTCATGGCGACTAAGCGTTGCGCTCCTACATAAGGCCGATGTAATTAGGTTTTGAAAATTTGGAGTCAAAGTGAAAGGCTTGCAGTCGATAATTTCCTGAAAAATGCCGTGGAAAGCTGTCCCTGCTGCTTCAAGAAACATGATGAAGACTTCCTCAGGTTTGTAAAGGGGTAATTATAGTGTATTTTGTGCCGCTCTTTCTAAAAATGACGTTCATATTATTACAGCCTTGCAGTTCTCCAGAAGAGTCAGTTTTTCCTGGAGGAGCTTCTTACGTCCTTATAGGTTAAACACCTGTTCTAGGACAAAATTGTTCCTCTGGAAAATTGAAGGGATGGTAAGCAAATTAAGCTAAGGTCATTCTCAGAAGCAGCTCAAAATACTCTAGAAGAGTAGTCCTTCTTGGCCCAGGAACTCTTTTTCCCTTGTTCCTCGCAAAAAGGCTGAACTAGTTTTTTACAGTGCTTTTCCTGGGAAAAATTGGCTATCTCGGAAAACTGGCGGGAAGGAAAAATCGTAAATTTGTGAGGTCAAAATTATTTTGATAACCAGAAGTGGATCCAGCAATTTGGTAACACCGTATTTCGTTCATTTAAACCTATATGCTAAATAGTTGATTCTTGTTGGAGCACCTGACCCCTTCAAGAGTCGACACATTTCCATAGGTTGTAATGGAGAAAAGACAATGTTGCCAATTTGCTGGATCTGCCAATGTTGGTAGCTATGAAACTTTATTACTTACCATGGGACCGAGGAGGATGAACATAAATCTGGTTGGAACAGGAACCTCGGTTAAATCGCCTAAAAAAATTCCCTGTTTGAGCCGAATAAAGGCGGAAAGTGGTTTACTAAGAAAGTCTACTTCTCCTACGAGGATATTAGAGGCCTCTGCTCCTGGAGGTATCTTCCGCATAAAATGAGTATTAGCCTGTAAAAAAGAGAAACAGAACAAAGCAACTTTAAAAGTTAAAATGTTAAAAGGTCGGCAGGTCTTTTTTTTCAAAACTACTTTTTTGACTACAAACTCCAAATCATCCTGATTTTAGTTTTGCTTGCACTAAACAAAAAGTTCTTGACGTATTATTTTGACTTACAGCGTTGTTCCTTTTCGACAAAATTTGGTTTTTTGAGTTAAGGTAACGTAGTTTTGAAATCACTTTTAACTTAATCTTAATGATAACAAAATGATACTTTCTTAACTCAAAAAAACTGACTCTTTGAGATTTTGTAGGTGAAGGAGGTACCTTTTCTTGTGGATGGGCCACATTGAATAAATTTGTTGAAATGTTCTATGGCAATTTAGATTAAACATGATCCCGATCTGATTAGATTTCACGCAGTCATTTTCGTATAGCACTCCTAATGGGAAAGTTTATGTGCTCTGCCCCCCCCCCCTTTATTTTTTACAAATTATCAGTATAGTGTAAGAGACATCGAAGTATAATAGTCTGCATCGAAGAATAAGGAGAGGATATTACAGAGGAGGAGGATGGTGGACTTTATCGCGGATTTGAATGGGTGATCATTCGAGCGTGAAGCACTTCGAATCGCGAGCGATTCGCACATGAGCGAGAGGAGCCTGCGCCATTGTTATCCCTCAAATATTGAGTATTGAATCCCGGATAAAATTTCACGACGAAACCGTAGGAAGTGAGTTCAAGTAATTTGAGATCGCGCTAGATAAGTTTGTATTTTCAGGAAAAGGCTTGTTGAGCAGTGAGCTCAGCATCCTAGGATGAGAAATCCACTCATGCAGCACCGATGATTCTCTCTTATTGAGCCAGCGGATTCTATAATGACTTTAACGTTTCATTTACCGTTAATACTTACATAATAGTGGAGCATTGATTCAACAACTTTTTCAGCTTTGCAGCGAAGACGATTCGCCTGCGCTTAGGTAACTGATGACGAGAGCTTACAGCAACCATAATGCTTTTCGCTGCTTAACTGAGACAGCTGTTGAATCAATGTGAATTCAATGTCTCGAGAGTATCCATAATCAGAACCAGTTAATATTTTTAAAAAAAATTAAAGTAAGAAAGTTGAAAAAAAATAATGATAAGTTAAAATTATTCGACAATTTTCTAGCTCATTAGAGATTCGACTGCACCGCGTGACTGGATTTATCTCATGTTGAACACAAAAAGCTCGTCCGTAAAGAAACAAATTAACCACTGGAATTTATCTCTAAAGGTTTTGTCATGAAACACTCTATTTAACATTCGAGCAAAAAAGATTTTTAAAAAACTCATGAAATATCAGAAAAGTTCCAAATCAATATTGTAGTAAGATTTTAAAAAAATACCGTCTAGACGTTTGAAACATATCAACAAAATATGCAATAATATTAGGTAAGTAAACGATGAAATGATGGATTAAAGTTGTTCTTTCAGCTTTGACTCGATATTGACACAGTATACAGTCAATAAATTCAAAAACATAGCGTAAATGTTGATCTTGTAATTTACTGGTGATTTTGTTTCAACTGGGTGATTCGAGCAAGCTATGTCGCGTAGCGCTACGGCGGGAATCGCCATGAGCACGCTATGAAAAAGTCAGCGCGCCTTCAATTTTTTACGTATGCAACGAGGACAACGACTGGGCTGGATTAGTTGCATTCAGGCGTTACGATCAAATGCGGCGCGTCTTGCTATGTTTCTCATTGATGATGATGCCTCGTTTATGTTCGTATCAGCTTAGTTTGTAAAGTTAAATGTTTTTTTCCTTCAGTCACAACAGTGCAATAAAACGTACTTACAAAGATTTAAGTAGATGATTCATCATTTACCTTATGATCACCGTTTAGTTCGCCCGCGCTATGATTCTTGTTCATGGACACGGAGCTAGGACTTCTTTCCATACCCTCGCCACCAGGATTGCTTCCTGTTGGAATGAAAGTATGGTAAAATAAAGAAAAGACTGAAAATTGTAAAAATTTCATGCTGCACAATCTACGAAAGTTAGATGTGCCCTTCTTGCTTGGAGTGCTCTACTTATTTTAGGTATGGCCTGTCGATGAGACTGGTTGATCTAATGCATATTTGTGACCATCTTTGGGGATACGGACTTAGTCCATGGAGGCAATTTCAGGATAGGGATATTTCTTAAGTTGACTGAAAACATCGGAATTTGAGTCTCCAACGGCAATTAATTAATCCGGTGGAGGGCGTATCCAACGATTGTCGCCCCGAGGTTGGTGGATTTAAATTTTAAAAAACGATCTCTCAAAATTAGATTTCTCGAACTGCAAACTTCAAACCACCATGAGGTCGGTTCAATTGAAGATCTTTGGGTCTTAATGTCTCGATTTCAAGATTTTTTTCACAAAAGTTACTCCAAGTCCCCTGAACGGTCTCATATCGATGATAAAACTCCCAAGCCACATCTCTGGATAACGATGTTTCTAAATGACTTCTTCCAACGCATTGTTATAATGTTGAACAAATCGCATTATTCCTTGAAAATTTGACGGGATAGTCCTCAGACAGAGAAGAAAAATTTGTCAGGTTTTCAAAGAAATACGATGAATAGTTCTCACTGATTTTATGTAATGTCACAAAAAATCTGCAACGTTGCAAATCAAGATACGTTTTGGAATTTTACCGTCACTGTATGTCTCAACAAAATTGTGTTTTAAGCCCTTTTTAAATTTACTCGTATACATGTGATTTATTTGAAAGTGCAGAGCTTTTCAATATATCTCGACGAAGCGAGCAAACGTGGAACTTCAAAAGGGGCTGTATGAAAGCAATATTTCTATACGATCTGTCATAAAGTTGGTATCATCCCACCATTTCAGCGCCCACTAGTTTCTCCTGAACTTTTTACTTCTACCTCTGATAAAGTTAGCTCAAATATTCTACCGTGATTCAGTTTTAGGAGCCGTCTTCCAATTCTCTCAAACTGAGACCCCGGTTTTACTAAGAGGATTAAGCTTTTGAAGTCGGCGTAGCCCCCCTCCCGTACCAAGTTTGTTCATTTGCAACCCTTCCTACCTACCCTTAATTTCATCCCTCAAACGCCTTGTTTGAATTTTATGCGCAACTGAGCTATACGATACAACTTTATTCTACACAGCCGAAATGCAATGAGATATGTCACTAAACGCCAGTTGTATACGTCATAAAAATGATTAAAAGGTTGTGTCATAAAAATTGGATCGTAGAAAAATATTGATGCCAAATTTGTGAGATTGTCAGAGCATAAAAAGCTGTTGCAGTCTTATGAAATTATTCCTGAGCTGGCAAGTTTGAGGATTACAGTGAAAAAGTCATTTTCGAGCAGAAAGTTTACGAGCGAGTTACAAACGGACGTATTATTGCCAAACGGAACTATGTGCATTAAGACATGAGCCCTGAGGCCCATAAGAATATATGCATAACAGGGCTCACGTTGTAATGCACATAGTTCCGTTTAGAAGAAATACGTTCAAATGAATGAAATGAAAGGAGAAACAAAAACGTGGATCTTCACGGGGTGGAATTGCGGAACTCGAGAACTGGGCTATGTTTATTTGAGAGGAGGCGCCTTAGTTGATACTCATTCCGTGATTCTGCAATTCTCAGAATTTATGTCACGATATCCAGCGCAAGTTGTCACGCAACCTGTTAGAAAGTCGGAACGTGCAACTGCTGAATGAACCAAAATTTGTTCACAAGAAAACTTTAACTGGATACCATAAATCCTATATAAATAAGTTTCAGGAATTTTTATGTAACCAAGAGGGCTATGAAAAATTTAAAAAAAAAGTATTTTTCTTAATTAATTTTGTGGAAAATAAGGATACTTAACGGCATACTCCTGATGATTGGTAAACTTCAGATTTTTATTTTATTTTGCTGCTCCAGGAAAGAGCATCGAAAAAATGGATAATATGAAAAAATCGAGTAAGCTGAAATTGAAAATACTAATCAAGAATCGAATGAGCTACATACTAGACTAACCAATTACATCGAGAACAACTAACTGAATGCATCTACGAAGAATGCGGTTAAAAAATCAGCTACGTGAATGCACATGTACAAGCATAAGGGGCCGTTCATAAATCACGTAGCGCTCTAAGGAGGAGGGTGGTCAAAGAGTAGGGCGTTCCGTTACGCCATTTTGATTTGAAGTGTTGAAGGATAGGGTCCTACGTTACAGAAACGTTACAAGGGAGGGGGGGTCAAAAATGTCGAAAAAATGCGTCACGTAATTTAGGGACAGCCCCTAAACACGTTATCACAAAAATGGGTCGCATAACTATCTTCAGTGAAAATCTAAAAAATTCCTGCATCTCCGCCAAAACGTTAAAACTGTTTCTACACTTAATCCATGAAGAAAGGAACCAACCATTATTTATTTTGTGAAATTAAACACGGCTCTCTTTTTACATATTCTTCATAAATTTCATGCACAAGTATTAAAATTTCCCCAGAAAAATATAAGGTAAAAATTACAAAATATGGTCAAACTGCGATTGAGGAACAGGGTTCATTTTTTATTTTCGTTAAATGTACGTTATATAAGCAGCATGCATTCAGTAAACCTTAATCCTCACTTCAAAGCAAATAAAAATTTGCCCAATCTCATATTTCTCAGAATTGACTTGTGAATTCTTAATGGTAATACACCGAATAATGATTACAAAAATGTGAATACCTCTCCAACCTGTAATGAGAGTCTGTAATGAGTATTGAGTTTCAAGAGGGCATAATGTGGTATCGTGATTTCAAGTCTCAATTCTAAAGATAAATGGACCTTCCTTCGATTTGTCCAGATGGTTAGTCTATGTGACCAATATAAATAGAAATTACGCCTTATATAGAGCATAATACATGACGTCATTCGCTTTTGTAAATTTGCATCATGTTATACATAAGGGTATCATGGATTCCCTCTCCTCACTTTCCTCACTGGAAAAAAAGTAGCTTGGATCTAGAGTCCAGACTCTTGAAAACATTGACAAGAAAAAATACTCTTGATTTAATCGGACTTTCGTTTAAATCAAGAATCTAGCCTCTTAACTTAGGCGGATTTCCTTTTGATTCAAGCAAAAATTCGATTGAATCAAGAGTACTTTTTCTTGTCAATGTTTTCAAGAGTCTGGACTCTAGATCCAAGCTACTTTTTTTTCCAGTGCTTAGTGACACTAGTGGAGTAACTGATGCAAAATTTACTCATTTCCGATTGATGAGACCATGCTGGGAGAGACCGTCGTATGCACCAATGCTCCGGTGCACATATGCACATTTGACACATCCCAGAGAATACAGTAGCGTATAAAATAAAATATTAAGGTGGATCCGCTGTTTTAACATCTTTGTTACAGCGTTTTAAATTACAGAGAACTCTACCGAGTTTGATCCACTAAAGATGTTGACCCTACCACGTCTTATAACCTACGGCGTACACGGAGAAGGGGAGAAGAGATTTATAGCAAAATCATCTTGTCAAGTGCCTTTCTTGGATGTGCGTTACCAGTGACGTCGTTGGTTCGAACATTGAGCTAATATTGGAACAATGATTCAACGCTTTCTTTCAGGTCGCGCTTGGAGGAACTTAGGTAGACATTTTAAGTGAATTTTTTTTTTTGAAAATAGTTTTTAAAATCAACGACCGGCTTTGTTGAGTATAAAATCACCAAGGTAAACGTAATACAAATTCGATCACAGGATTGACTCAAATATCAACACGGAAAAAATTAAATTGCTGATTTAACAATTCAATCGCTAAAAACAGTGACTAAAATGCTTCAATGAAGATTTTACAACAAAAAAATGCTACTTTAACCACCCCCGTGGTTAAATTAGCTTAAAATAGTGGTTAAAGTAGCATTTTTTTTGTTGTGAAATCTACCTGGAAAAATTGCAGTCATTTTTTTTAACAATTGAATTGTTAAATCAGCAATTTAATTTTTTCTGTGAATATACGACCACTCACAGGAAAATAGGCCCCAGTGACAACAGATTTAAAATTAAGATATTGGTACTACTGTGTAAGGAGCATTCTGTGGACATTGGCAAAAAATTTAGCCGAAAATGTAGAACCAAATCGAGAGTTTGACTGTTGGAAGTTTGTACGCTATCCAAAGAAACACGATTGGGAAAATAAACTATTTCAAGTTTTAACCTACTGTGTTCAGGGCTTGAAGTATATTGTTGAATTCAATTGCAACTCTCTACCCGCTATCAGCCTGAAAATGAATGGAATTCTGTCGGATACTACACAGTCAGAATCCTGAGAGTAAAATTCTGGAGCCAAAATGATCGAATTATACTCTATTCTGAAGTAGATGTAGCCTAGAATTAATTTCACTCACACAAGCGGGTAAACATAAACTTCAGCTCTGCATTTCACTATCGGATTTCCGTCGAAAACCCAGAAAACCGTTTTCAGATCCGCGTAACTCGACACAAACCACTCTCTTAAAAAAGTTGGTATCGTGCAGTATTGTCCCTTCCCCCGAGGACCATCACATGGAGGTCCAGAATTCGATTGAAAAAGTAAGTTAAATTTATTACATTGAAGTTGCTACAGTGCTGAAATTGCGTTTCAGCTCGGAAAGTAGGCCAAACGGCACACCATCTCCCCGGGTGCTACACAGTCAACACACTCGAGAGGATTAAACGAAAGGAGGCAAATGAAAAAATTTAATAACCCTGAAGCTTCCTTTTTATTTTTTTCTGCGCTTCGCGTATCGCGGGTGTACGCAATCTATGTAGTGAGAGAAAAATTAATTAAAATTATAGTGAAAATGGCGGATGTCAACTTTAGTCTCGATAGATCTGTATGCATACAAATGGAGAGACAAAAGTCCTCTAGCTTTCTTGAGGGACAAAATAAAAACATTTAATTATTTGAAAGAAAGAAATATTGTTGGTAACATTGGGTTTTCTACATTT